AAACAAACCTATAATACATGGATTGTGTTTTAATGCATGAAGATCATTGTCACTCATAGTTTTACGTTGTTGTAATAAATTTTGAATAAAATTTTGAAGTGTTATTGAATCATTGAATGAATTATTCGATTGACTTGTTAATGTTGGAATATGTATTGTTCGACATCCAATTGATTTAAGAAATTCAATAGATACAGGATAATCATTTGATTCTTCTTTATTAATTGATATTTGTGGAATGTAAAATTTAATTATTGGTAAATTGTCTGATAAGTTAGATAATCGAATATAAGATTCATTAGGTGATTTCATTCCTTGATTTGTTGAAATACATTTTAAATTAGATAAAATATCTTTGATTTTATTTGATTCTTTTTCATTAAATTGATTCCAACGTTGAGATATAAAACTAAGAAGAATACGAGATGTATTCTCATTTTGAAAAAGATATTGTTGATTTTCTGCAAGATAAAATTCAATTAAATTTTTCATAGAAATTATCGATAATGATAATCGTTTATGTAAATCTTCTCGAGATATATGACTGATAACATTCGATGGTAATACATTTGATGGAAGAGGTAAAGATAATAGATTCAAAGTATCATAAAATTCAATTTTTTCTAATTTAATTATTGAGGATTGATAAGTTTCACGATAACGTATTTTGGATAAAATTTGTTTTATATAAGATTTATTATGAACATCATTACTACATAACCAATGAAGTAATCCAATAAATTCATTATATTGTAAAATAGATTCTTGAACTTTTACTAGAATTGTATCATGATCAATTTCTTCAATCCAATGATGTCGTTTTAATACTTTAAAAAAATCATTTTGTCCAACATCATATGGAACAAGAGGGATAGGAAGAAATGTTTGAATATGTTTTGAAGTTGTAAGATAAGCTTCTGTAGATGAACATAAGGAATGATGTAAATCCGATGGAGATCGTTTTACTGGAACAAGAATATCTTTATCCGATGAAAAGAATCCATCAAGTAAAATAGGACCTTTGTAAAACAAAAAATTAAAACGAATTAAAGTCTATGAAATCAATATAATATACAAACCAATATCTTTATTAGGTGCTGATGATTGAAATGCATAAAGAGAAAGAATAGCATTTAATTGTTGATTTGATATTTGTGAAGTATTATTAATAAGATCAACAACTGTTTGATCATAAATAAATCGAATAATTTTTCCAATTGATGTTAAAAGTTGTTCATTCCAAATTGAAATATATGGATCTTGTAAATCAACATTTTCACGTTCAATTGTTGGAATTAAATGACTAAATACATGCATACCAATACCTGTTGATTGATGTGTTGCTAAACCAATAAATATTTGACCCGATGGAATAATTTCATTATCATAAATTTTTAATGGAATTAATCCTTTTAACATTTCATTATCACTGTGATTATTTGTTAATTTTTTCCATTGTTCATCTTCAAATATCTAAAAAAAAGCGAACAGATAAAAACAAATATCGAATAAATTAAATCAAAAAAAAAATCGTACATTATTTGAGGGAAATAAAAATTCTAAATGTATAATAGAAGGTAAACTTTTTTTAAGAACACTTTGAATTTGTTTATGAAAAATTTTATCAATAATAACATCAGCTTCAACATCAACATGATTAAGTGTTATAGATGGACCATTGATTATTGAAAATATTTGTTCAGTTTGTAGAAATGATTTTAAACGAAGTAAATTATGTTGTTCATTGTTCGAATTGAATCGTTTTGTTGATAATAATAATTTTTTTGATGATAAATTTTTTTTTATTTTATTAATTTGAAAAATAATTGAATTATTTATTTTGATAATTAATTCATTTATATATTTAGTAAATGAAAGAACTTTAGTAAAATATGTTTTCAATTGTATTAAATCTAATGTTGGTATAATTTCATTTGTTATTGTATTTTTTTTTGATTTTGTTCGTCGTTTTAAATGTATTTTTGTTTTTTTAATATTTTCATTTATTTCTAATATTGATTTTGTTTGTAGAATATATTTATTTTTCATCGGAAGTATAATTGAAGTTAATGATGATTGTTGATCAAATGGTAATTCTTTTCGAAATGTTGTTAATGATTTTCCATTTTGCCAAACAAATGCTAAACAATGTTTTCCAGATTGAATCATTGGTCGTTCTGAATAAGAAAAAACTGAAAAGAAACCAACACCAAATTGTCCAATAGCATCAACATTAGTATTTCCTTCAGCTATAGTTATTACTCTTTTCCAATCATCGTCAGTAAATACATGACCATTATTTACTGTACGTATTTCAGTTATTATACAATTATTAAAATCATCTTCACTAATTGATAAATTATTATTCTTGTTTGAATTAGAATAAATTGTATTTTCATCGACATAATGATTTTCAATCGATGGTACAATTGTTTCTATTGTATTGTTTGATTGTTTTTGATTCGATGATAAATAATCTTTATTAATTGATTCATAAGTTTGTTTTCTAGTTAAAGGATCACAAGTAATTTCAAGAGTAAATGAAGTAGCTTGAGCATCATCAGAATTTTGTATTAATTCACGATAAATAACAAAATCAGATGAATAACGAGCTAACATTTTATCAATTAACATTCGTTGATTAACTTCTACACGATCTTCTACACCTTCGTTTATTACTTTTAACCAAAGTTCATCTGATGGTAATGATTTTAGATTATTATCTTCATCCATTTTCCTTTATAATAAATCTAAAAGAATTCTATAGAATGTTTCTTCTATTGTATAAGTACTAAAATGATCAATAAAAGAAGCTCTTCCAATGTATTAGTGTAAATTGAAATTGTTGTTTTTTTCAATACTTATGTTTTACTTATACAATTTAATTATTTCTTTATTTATCTATGTTTTCTTTTAAAATCATTATCATTTGAAATAAATTGTAAGAAAAATAAGCCTACTTGTAATAAAGGTTCTATTTTTCAAATCGTCTTGAAGACGTTTTTCATATTGTACTCGTTTTATATACTACTATTCGATATGTGACTCATCATAAAAAGAAATAGAAGATCAGAATGACGGCACGAGGAATAACCGAGTAAAGGAAAGAAAAATGAAGAATATACTTATTTTACTCGCATACGATGTTGACTATGACTCAGAGAAAAAAAAAGCTAAGGGCATTTTTCAGGGTGTGGGTGTGGGTGTAGTTGTGGGTGCGGTTGTGGGTGTGGGTGCGGGTGTGGGTGTGGGTGTAGGTGCGGGTGCGGATGGGTGTGAGGCTGTGGGATGTGGCTGTTGATCTCCGCATAAGCTATGCCGCAGCTACACCCATCCACACTCACACCCACACCCATACCCACACCCACACCCACACCCACACCCACACCCACGCCCACACCCACACCCACAACCACACCCACAACCACAACCACACCCACACCACCCACACCCACACCCACACACCCACACACACCCACACCCACACCCACACCCACACCCACACTCACACCCACACCCACCCACACCCACACCTACACACCCACACACACCCATGGCTTCTTATCGAAATTAGGGGCAAAAGTTGCTTGGTGTCGAAAATAGGGACAAAAAATAGCTTGGTGTCGAAATTAAGGACATTTTTTTCATCCATTTTAGATGTCCTTCTCTCAATTTATTGAACTTATTCTAAACAAATTTCATTTTTCATGAACCTTTAGATTATGATAGATCTTAAGATGCTCTACAAAATTGCCCAGAGAACCCTTGCTCGTTTTTTGATCAAATGACGTAAAAAACTTGTTTTTTCTGAAAAGATTGCATTCCGCTTGGATTTTGTATGAGTGTCGAGATTAGGGGCAAAAAAAGGCTTGCTGTCGAAATTAGGGAAAACGCTCCTAATTTCGACAGATGAGGGTCATCATCGTAGGCCGCTGATTTCTCAGTGAAAACATTCAAGAAAAAGGCCGTTGATATACCATTTGAAAGGAGGGGTGGACCATTTCCTCACTTCATAGAGAAACCGTTCCACTTCTAGCAGAAATGGTTTAACCTCAAATAGTGAAGCAGAAATTCTTTTTTCAAACATCGAATTCCCCTTCAATATCAATCAATACTTCACTTTGTACCATTAGAAACGGTTATTTTTTTAAAGAGGAAATCCTTCATCCATATCTCCAGTTCTCAGGAGCAATGGAAATAAAATGTAGAGAAATGGATAACTAATTTTGATCCATTTCTCTATTTATAAAGGGAAATCGATTATTTTTTGTCTCTTATATAGGATTTTCTAGCAGATATGGATTTTTTCCAGCAGATATGGTTAAAATAGCAGGAGAAATACTTCATCCATTTCTCTATTTATAAAGAGAAATCGATTATTCTTTTTTGTCTCTTATATAGGAGTTTCTAGCAGATATGGTTTTTTTCCAGCAGATATGGTTTAAATAGCAGGAGAAATACTTCTTCTATTTCTCTATTTATAAAGAGAAATCGATTATGATATTTATGATATGCATAGTTTGGAAAAAATTTTTTAACAAATAATTATGTTGACTAAGATGTAGATCTTAAAGTTCATCGTGTGTATGAAGCATTTTCTTTGAATATAATAGTGTTTTATAGCTATAAGAATTCTTGTTAACGAAAAGAAAAAATCATAATAAAATCGTAATACAATCATTTTGTCTGATTTGATGGTGGTGTTGGAATCTTTTTCCTAATTTTTTTTAAAGAATATCGTAAACACTTATGTGAAATAAATAATCATCAAATGTAATATGAAAAAATTTTTCAAAAGAAAGTTTGTTTACTTAACGATTCTGTTATTGAAATGCAGTAACAGATAATGAAAGAAATTATTTTTCATCTAATGTGTTGTGTTTGATGTTGGTTGAAGTTGTTTTTGACGTACATGATTTTTTCTTTGTTGTCGATTGTATTTCCGTTTTTCTTTATCCATTTATAATGGCTAATACCATAGCATGTGCATCTACTTGATAATGTGATGCGACATGCCTAATATAGGCTGATAAATGTGGAGAAAACCATGTTTCGGGTTCAATTTTCAGCATACGTGCTACTTTCAAATTCGATCGAAATCGTCCCATTGGATTCATACTGGTTCAATCTACAAAATACAAAATAAAAACCATCAAAATATTTTAAAACAGGTAGCTGTGTATAAAAAGTTCGATTAAAGCAAAATTCAAACTTATTATGCCGTTGCAATTGACGATGATTATCTCAGAAATATTTGTTAACCTACAAACGCTATTTTCCTTTAAATTCAAGTATATGCACAATATAATATAATAGATTATATATATACAGACCTTGCAGCGGCCTTCTTCTCTTCTTTTTCCCTACTTTTTTCAGCTCATCCTTGTTTTGTGAATGATCTTATGAGTTGGATTTATGTGAATAAAGCTACGAAGAGATATAATAAAGAAATTATATTTTTATTATTGAATATATTTGAGAAAAGACTATTTAAGATATTTTTTTGTGAAACATTGAATGCTTCTCACAGATTAAGAAAGACACCTTAGTAAAGAGTTCTTTTCAATCACTCCTAATCAATGAAAAGAAGCATTGAACATATAGAGTAATGATTTCAATTACTTTGTTATCTAAATATATTTGCGTGTGCCTATTTTCTGTTTGTTACTATTTTTTCTTCTCAGTTCATATGTTCTTTTCGTTTTCTTTTTGTTTTGTTTACAGATCACCTTTTCTGTTTATATGACTTTTTTTTCCTTTCGTTCTTTCCTTTTCTCCTTGTTGAACCATTTCTCTCTGAAAGAAAAACCATTTCCCTGTAAATTCAAGTATATGCAAAATATCATATAATAGATTATATGTATATATATTTTTTTCTTTTCCATTTCTCCTTGTTATGCATGATTTTATGTGGAGTGAAGCATTTCTGCATAAACGGGAACAATTTCCCCAACGACTTCGTACTATTGCCCACTGCTGTTTGAAAGAGCGGAGTTCAGTGATTTTCCATATATAAAAATATTTTGCCTCGTGTTCAAATTAGCTGCGCACGGACTTAAACAAGATAAGACAAAAATTTTGTGTCGAAATTAGGGACATTTGCTCTACTCATTATCCGAATTGGACTCAATTGAAAATTTTCAATTTTCAATGCAATAGTTCATTACATTATTTCACAGATAAGCAAATGTTTTATCTTTCATCAACTTAAAGATCACAGTACAACTATATTCAATAAAACAGATTACACAATGTTTCATTGTTATGTATTAAATTAGATGATTCATCGCTTCGACATATTTTCAGGCAGTGAATTACAAAACTTGATCTTATCAATAAAGACCGTGAGCGTGCAGTAGGATCATTGAAAGCTTATACAAAAATAGTGTATGCGCTTAGTTTGACTTACTGCGAAAAACTAGAGCGTTTTAATGTCATTGACACATCGATTGCTCCGTATCCAAGCTTATTAATTCATTATTTACCATCAAGTACTTTTTCTTCTTCAACCCTTACTTATTTATGTATTAGTGTGGGAACTTTCAGCGTTTATCTTTATTTACTTGATGGTCGTCTCAAACAATTGAGTATATTGATTGTTCGAATTTATCAAATGAATATGGATTCATCAATTGTTCATAATTTAGTAAGTATGTTTTATCTTTTCGAACTTCTCAAATGAATAAAATACTAGCTGTAAATTAGAAAAACTTAGGGAGTTTGTAAAGTATGAAGGTTTTTGAGAAATCAATAGAAATGTGTAAGTCCAAATTTAGTCCAGAGCTTGAAAATAGGCCTAAAGAAAACTTGAGAAAGGCTTTAAAAAAAGATATAGATAAGTTCTTGGATATCCCTTAAGCTTGTCTGAGAATCAACTATTGTCCACAAGAATGGAAATTGTTAAGTTTTGATTTATGCAATGATTCAAATGAATATATAATTGAATCTTACTCGAACAATGCAAACTAAGTAATAATCATGGATGAATGTAGAAGTTATTTTACTGAATAATCAGATAAATACAACGGAAACAAGATTTGTTTTCTGTATCCATTGATTAATATACTATTTGAATTATTATTGTAATCGAATAGATGATCACTGTTTTATTTTAAAAAAAGACTTATTAATAAATCTTGCTTTTCATTATATAGGATGATCTATCTAATATGCAGTATTGCCCATTAATACATTATGGTTTAATTGAAGAATACGATAATATAATTATGTCTTCTTCATCGTATATTATACTTAGAAAAATTAACTTTGTATTTGCGTATCGCTTGTCAAAATGTATTCATTGATCCAAACTATCTTATAAATAAATTTTCTATGCAAATTTCACGACTTTATTCATTGAAATTTTATCTTGGTACTGAGAATAATAGCAATGATACAGTTCGTTATTTATTCAATAATGACATTAAACGAATTTATATGAATATACGATATCGAGAAGTATAGAATATTGTTTCTTTTACTAGTATCACAACTACATATAATTTCTTTACGCTTGCTTTCGAGTTTTCCAAGCTCTTGTCTATTGGAACTATATTTCTAAATAGTGTATTCAATTACGTCATCGAATTATGTGTACGTGATACGGTTCCATTGGAATATGAGTTCTTCCTACGAATAGCTAAAGCTTTTCCAATGCTGAAAAATTTTTATGTTTTCAACATTATATCACAGTCATATAATGTGAAGAATTCATCTGACGACATTATTCAATCATTTGAAATCGTTGAATATTCTTATCTTATCTCACTTGATATTACACGAACAACTTTTAGTTACATTGAACAATTTCTAAATAAAATCAAAATATATCTACCTTATCTAGCTGAATTAAGTGTTCGATATGAAGAATTTAGAATTATTACATAAGACTTAACAAGAGAAGCAACGCGACGCAATTGTATCAATGTGACACGATTAATTACTGAGAGACAAATTGTTGGCTCGAAAGACTTTTACATTTATTTTTCTTCATTGTAAACTGATTATTATAGTAACTCTTTGAATCAAAATCGAAAAATAAATCAATTCTTTCGTTTGAAGCAAACGATAAGAATAAAAGAAAATGGCAAAAAAACGAAGTCACACCTTAAGACTCCTTGAAATATGGATGTGTAAGAAAATTAATTAATCAATGATATATGCGAGTATATAAATAAAATGACTGTATATGTTTATCACCTCTTATTATTCAATAAATAACATATTTTCGCTCATTTTATTATCTACAATAGCAATCTAAAATACAAATAAGTTTTCTTATTGAATGAAGATAAATAATTTTTCTATAAAAAAAAGCAAATCGAATAAAAGCAAGAGAAGACATACAACATTGAAAGTTTATGTTATTTAATCAGTTGAATTAGAAGCGTTGTTCATATCATAGATAGTTCATTTGAGTTCAGGTCGAAGGATGTACGCGTTGCAACAAACCTGAACAACGATTGTAAATGACTCGATAAAAACCAAACAAATACCATACGAAAATATGTAAACCTGCAGTTAATCCACCATACAATCCAAGCAGTGTTGTGATTATGTAAACAATGCTATTTTGTTCAATATAATAATATTGGCACCTTGACGGAGCACATATTTGAAAATATGCAGAATAGTCAGGTGACAAGATCAGTGAATATAAGGGGTACTCATCTAGAAGCGATTCTATTGGAGCCGTTGGTGGAAACTGCGTTGCATTAAGATTAAATTTAGTGAATGAACTACCTAAAGCTCTATTTAGTCGATTCACACAAACATCATCATAGAAACATGCAAATGTTGAATGTAAAACACCACTCATGATCGAGCAGCCAACAACAATGCCTAAATAAATGAAAATATCAATGATAATCAATTTGGTTTTTCAATCATCATTTTTTAATCAGAGACCTCTTTGGAAATCTCAATTAGTCGTTGTAGAATGATAGAAGCATATGAGAAAGCTTGATTAAAGCGTTTACCTGGAAGTACATTTGAGTTATTAGTCGAATTGTAATAAATAGGTATTTTTGTACAATTTGATACACCACTTGGGCAAAGACAAGCACCATTGCTTAATAAAACTGGATTGTTACGAAGAATATAGTTTTCATCAAAGTTCGAAAATTCTGTGCTCCAGCTTGTCATATATTGGTTATGGAATTGATTTGCTTGAAGTATATCAGAAACCCATTTATAAACATTATCTGATAAGATCACAGATTTCTTATCTATTCCAATTGTAAACGAGTTTAACCATATATCCAATGCTTTTGAGGTCATTGCTTCAAACGATATCAAATTTGCGTCATTCAAAGTGTACAACGCTTGGCTTAAACTAGACATCGCGAAAAAACATCGGTCATATAGAATATGTATTTGTTGTTGTATGAGACTCCAATCGTATGGTTCCTGGGGTATGTGTGCTGGCAACGAAAACATCCAATAAAATTCGTGTGACATGAACTCAAAGCAGTTCTCTTGTAATTCTTCTGAGATGGATGAAATATTTAGAAGAGGAATAGCTATATTTGTACAAGGACATGATAAACTATCAGAATATTGGCTGTGAAGAAATGAAAAGTAAGTTTCATTTGGTGAATCTACGCTTATCAATACTGTCCGATACTGGAATCGAACGAAAGCTGAGATATTCGCGAAAGTTATAACAAGTAGAACAATATAGATTCTTGTTGCTAAATGTTGACATTCCACTGGTGATCTTCCTCGGTAGACATTCATGAAATAAAGCTCATCTCGAATATAGGTAATAATTGTTCTCCAACGTAAATGAATATCTAAAATAATTCAGGATAATTGAATAACCGAAGAAAAAAGTTTCTCACCTCGTGCTTGCTTATACCGCAAATTATTAATCAGATGGACAATTTTAATGAATGATGGAACTGAGAGACGAAGAAGAACGTTTAGTCCTCCAATCAGACCAATAACTAAGTTAACAAGAGCAATAGGATGTAATTTCTTATCTATTGCATAGGTACATATCTCTGGCTGACATTGAGCATAGTACAATGCATAGTCTCCTATATAGATCAATTGATTAACAAAAGCGAATGCCATGATATCGTCCAAGTAGAAATTAGGCTTTAAAAAGATGAGATCATTTGGATTAAGTGCTGTTATATTACTCAAATCAATCGGTAAATAGATATTTTCGTAATCATAAAGACGTCGATCAATTAGCATCTGAACACATGATTCATCGAAAAAACATTCTAGTGTGGAATAACCAAAATCTAAAAAGTAGTAACCAAGAGATAGACCAGGAATAATTTGGTATGGTGTGACATTTGTTCGTGTATACGACGATAGTTTGTCATAGAAACCCAATTGTTTAAAACATAGATAAGATTGCCCATAATCACATAACAGATTATTATAGTTGTAGGTGTTAACTGAAGCATATTGAAGAACCCATGTGTTATTGATTTGCCTGAATATCATAGAAGGATCAATAAAATCGAATGAAACTAATCCACTCTGTTGAATACTTTTTACCACTGGAGAAAATTTTGTTGAGTATATTTGGAAAAACTATATAAAAGATATAATGATAAATTTTGCTTTTCCAGATTTATCTACTGATGTTTTTGCCCTATATCTTTAGAAGATCAATATTCTGACAGATGTTTTTCGTATAGCAGGGAAGAGTGTTGAATAGTACGGCGAACTCTTCTGATTTATATGCTCAAAACTATAAGAAAATCTATTTTTAAGGTCTTATTTTCATTATATTTTACCTCGACGTTAAGAGAATCTTTCCAATTCTTAGTTGTTTCATTGAATTCTCGTTGTGTAATAGGTTGAGGCGAGAAAAAATATTCTGCTTGAAACGAATTCATTAACTCAGATAAACTTCTATTGGCTATGTCGCATAATATTTTAACATAATTAAAAAACTTCAATCCATTCTTGCGAAAATCAGTCCAATAAAATGGTGGATTTAAATCAATGCTACCATTGAGAAATTTCATTGTCCAATATTGGAACCAACGATCATCACGTACAAAACTACTTGTACAAAATGGATGGATTTGTAATTCATTGAATATGAATATTGAGCGTGGTATCGATGAATAGCGGCATGGACATGATAGAATAGATGAATACATGTCATGAAGGTGTTCAAATTCATCCAGACTTGGGTTTCTGACAATGATTTGTTGTGAACTAACTATTGAAAGAGAGTACAAGATCAACGTGTAAATACCAAACATTAGCAAGATGATATAGACACGAGTAGAATAAAGACCATGTTGAACATTGGTGAAAGTTGTCTTGAACAAATTAAATGTGATAGCTTTGTCACGAATTAGCTTAACGAAATTCCATATACGATCTTGGAAATCTATGGAGAGAAAAAGTACAAGAAAGAAAAACACATATATATATAGATGTAAAAATTGACTTCACTTCTTTTTAGTTCATGTTCTTCATCAGTTTCTAGTATTTGAGTCCGTTGACAACATAATCGTAAAATGAATTTGACAAACAATGGAGATGTTATACGGAATGCTGCGGAAAGTCCACCGAAGACACTAACCATGGTTGTAATCATATAAATGAGAGAAAACCGTTGTACATATGAATATGAACAGGCTTTGGGTGCACAAGTTTGAAAATAGGTGACAAAGTCAATAGAGTTCTCCCAAGATTCGATCATTAGATTATCAAAAAGAACAGCAATAGGTGTTGTTGGACTGAATCTTGAAAAAGAGTTTGAAATATTAAGAGGTGAGACAGTGCGAAGAGCACCAGTTAACGAAATCACTGTATCTAAACATGATTGATTATAAAAGCATTCCAATGTTGATTGAAGCAAAGCATTTTGAGGTACACATCCTACTTGAAACCCTGGTACAATGAATAGAGGCAATGCATCAAGAGAAAAGACTTCATTTGGAATGATTGCTCGCGTTTGATTATAAATGCCAGCAGGATAAATACAATCACTTGTACGATCACATCGACACGTTTCATTCGACATGAACGACGATTGTGTTAGGTTGACTTGTTGTGGATAAATAGCAGAAAAAGTTTCAGAAATATTAGTATCAGGAACACTTCTCGTATAGAAATTTGTTCTTAATGCAGATATAAAACGATGTTCTGCAATAAAAGCTGATATAAAATGGTTGCATGAACGGAAACTCTCAAATGTATCTTTCTGGAATTGTTCAATGGACGTGCCTATATAACTATCGAGTACATCGCGTGACAATGCATTTAATGAAAATATTGGTTTTACAGCAAATCCATGAAAAGCATCGATTACAGCTCGGCGTGATGTTCGACAGAGAGCAGATAAAACTTGAAATTGTGCAGAAGCCATCAAACGAAAGTCAAGAGGATAGTAATTGCTGGTATTGATATTGAATAAAGAAGAAAACCAGTCCTCATTGACGAAATCACTTAAACAAACTTGATGAAATCGAGGATTCACTGATACAAATTGTAGATAAGGGATCGATGCTTGAGAACAACGACACATAACTGTAGTCGTGTAAGTATTGATGAAATTTTCAAAATCATTGACAGATGGCGAAGGAACATTGATTAAATGTGTTCGAGGAATAATACCAGTATATGATAGTATAGCTAGGAGGGCGATCGAAAGTAAGATAATGAAAAGACGCGTAGATAAGAGTTGGTCGGACAGGGTCAAGTCGTCATGATCTTTGTACAGATTCAAATGCCTGATGAAATATATTAATTGATTTCGATATCTAATGTAAGTAGTAGCTTGTGTAGTCATTGATCTAGAAGAGTATTTATTAAATACACTGTACGAAACTTGAATATGTATCGAACAATCGAAAGATTACATGTATTATCCTACTACTCTCATGACCTAAGGCTCTACAAATGAAATCAACATTTGTGAATAGCTCATACATTTTTGCTTCTTTAGAAAAGTAACAAGTCATTACTCTGAAAAAAAACCAGGAGTTTTGCAGAACCCTTCAAAAAGGTTCTGTAGATTTCAAAAAGCCTCCAAATGTGCCCAAAGTCTCAGACAGAGGATAAAAAAATTCTACAGAACCTTTTGAAGGTTCTGCGTTTTACCCATTCGCAGAACCATCTCTTACAGAACCTTTTTTTTAGGTTCTGTACAGCAATAAAAGGTTCCGTGGGAAAATACGAAACCTTTAGGGTTCTGTACAAAACCATCAACCGTTGGTACAAAAACCCTAATGGTTCTGTACAGAACCCTAAAGGTTTCGTATTTTCCCACGGAACCTTTTTTTTTGCTGTACAGAACGTAAAAAAAACGGTTCTGTAAGAGATGGTTCTGCGAATGGGTAAAATGCAGAATCTTCAAAAGCTTCTGTAGAATTTTTTATCCTTTTTTTTGAGACTTTGGACACCTTTGGAGGCTTTTTGAAATCTACAGAACCTTTTCGAAGGGTTCTGCAAAATTCCCCTTTTTTTCTCAGAATAGAATTGTTGCTTTTAACAGTTATTCAATATACATTCTTCATTTTTGTCTCTCCTATTCTCCAAATGACTCCTTTTAAACATCAAGTTTGATGACGTATGTTTCTTTTTCTTTTCTCTTATGTGGCTGGTAAAAACAAATTTGTTTTAATACTATTTTAGATTTGACTGAATATAATGTAATAGCTTGATGAACATCAATATAGTGAAGAGTGGGAGAGCTACGCCTCCAGTTTGTAATATATTTGTATTTCTTTTTAATTTCAAATTTTTCTTTGAATAATGTTTTTCTACTTGCTCAGCTCCTTTACTTTAAGTGCTCTTAGATAAATAGCTCTTTTTTCTTTCTATTATGTAGACTAACTTGATTCGTCAAATATTTCTATGCTTTTCAAAAAGTAATTACTTTTCTTTATTTTCAAAGATGTAGCGATATTTTTCAAAACAAAATCAGAGTTGGTTGATTGCACACTGCTCATATTTCTATGTGAACCAATGAATTTTATTTTTTGTGAAAGACAATTCTTTTTTCATGTAGCGCTGATAATTGGGAAACTGTAATCCATAAATTGTTGAGTAAAATTTTCTGTCAAATCTTTCATTTACAATATTAGTTCATTACCTATAGAAGATATTTGACATAAACATTATTTTCCAGTTAAGAAACAGCTGATTATTGTTTAGCTTTATTGTTATTCATTCTCTGTCATTCATAAATGAAAAATCTTCTTTTAAATTAGTGCTGTCTACTAGTTAAACTTCCTTCTTTCATTTGAAAAGATTAATTAATTAATCATCGCAGTATTTACGTTTATTTTGTTACAACTGGTATAATTTTCTCGTTTTCAATTTGTGAGAATGCATTACTGTTCCTGGTTGAGAAATAGTGCATACATTCAGTTGCATTTTTAAATAAAATATCGTTAAACCATGGATGTAAGTATGTGTTACTACTGCAGTTTAGTCACACCGTCACCCTCACACTGATTGCTGCGTTCAATGTACTAATCAGTGTCGGGGTGTGACGAAACTGCAGAGGGACTAATTATGTAAATAAAAAGTTGAAAAACAACTCAAGCATGAATGCATTTCATTTTGAAATTAAAATGTAATTCTTAGTAACAATAGGAAAGTAATTCAAAAATAGAAAAGCTTTTTTCGCCGTTCAGATATAGGTTAATGAAATATGAAGAGTCTGAAATTATTATGCAAAACAGAAATAGTCTATGGCTCGATAAATTAAATTGTTTTCATTCTTTATTTCTAAAGAAGTTTGGAAACAATTATGTTTGTTTGACACATTGCCTGGTTGTGAATCTTATATTACAACTTTGATGCTATCTTCAAGTAACATAGTTAAAATAAAGTGTTCAACGTACGAAGATTTGTCTTAACCAAAAAATTATTTTGGTCACTTCTGAAAAGACATGAACTTTCAAAATATGTTCATATTTTGATTTAAAAGTCTACGCTATCCTTACTATTCATATTAGAGAAAGAAAACTTGTATTTTCAAGAAGATTTTCGATTTTTTTGCACCATTATTCAATAATTCATGTAAAGATTCACATAAATTTTGATATTGAATTGTTAATTCATCGAATGAAATTAGAAAATAATAACAAGCTTGATGAAGATCTTGGATATTAACCAATGATGGGTAACATACTGTTCCAAAACTATGAAAATTCTTAACAAAAATCTTTTTTTTTGACCAACAAAGCTTGAAATATTGTTGTATAAATGTCATTCGTAGTTTTACATTCTCTTTTTTTCGTTTGATATAAAGAATACTCTTTATGATAAACTAAACATTCTATTCGCATATGGACTGATAATAAATCTTGTTTCATTGATATTCAGTGCTACACCATCAAGATTTTTGCTTGCTGTTGAAACAATTGTTTGTTCTTTTAAGTTGTTTGTAATAACAAATAATGTATCATATAATAGTCTATGATAGATATATTTAAATTTTATAAATTCTTCCAGAATTTCGAATTTAAAACATGTTGAACTATTGAAAAATTTAAGAATTTCATATATTGGTTGTTCATTTATTCGAGATATTAATGAATGTTGTAGTTCTTCATCACTCATTAATGTACAATAGACAAAATAATATATATGAGCTTTACAGTAAAGCAAAGAAAAAGATGCGACTGATCAGTAGGAGATCAAAATGACAAATAAAGTAACGGAGAGTGGAGAAATGTTTTAGACAAAATATTTCTTCCTTTTTTATGTGCGAGAAAGAATTTCCGATATGTTAAAAGATAAGGATTATGAACAGAATTTTGTATTCTTTTCGGATATGGATTTAGAAATTTTATCTCAACTTTAGTTCGAGAATAGTAAAATACTCTTTGAAAAGCTCAAAAAAAAATAGTCTGGACGGAAAATTTTTATCGCATATTCACGTATTTTCACTATTATGATTCGAAACTAGTAATTAGAATCTTTATTTATATATCAACTTGTAGATCAAAATATATACCAAAAAAGCATTCTTTGTGTTTGTTTCTATCTCTCGAAAAGTTATCTTAATTTTCGTCTTTTCGACGTTGAGTAATGATTATATCATCTTCAACTTCCTTTTTTGTAGTGTGATCTTTATTTTTCATTAAATATTGTCATTTGACAAGTCAATTAGGATAGGTATAAATATATCAAATATTCTGGATAAGTCGACGATTTTCTATAAATGTATATGATTGTCTTGAAGTGTCTGTCCTAAGTTGGAGAAAATATTTTCTAATAGAAGAAGATAGTGTCAAATAAAATATTATAAAATGTGGCAAAACTGAATAATAAAAAAAACTCGTGCTGTAAAAATGTTTAAAGTCTTTGCTACTTGTTCGCATTGCAGTCTATATTATCTAGCTGTAAGTCTACTTACAGACTTTTCTTATTTTTGACTTCCTTGTATTAGGAAAGAAGTGTATAAGAAAAACGAAGATAAATTGGATTTCAATTTCTTCATTTTTAGTACATCAGTTCATCACACTTTGTTTTTCATTATTCATTAGACCATTATGTAAAAAGGTGATCTCATTCCAGCTTTTACTCTTAAATAACTACTGTCTTATTTTTCCTTTTCATGACTGTCACTCCTTAGTTATTTCTCATTTTTTTTTTATTTTGACACTGTTATTAGTATATAAATATGAAATAAAATAACAAATAATTTTATTTTAAATATTTATTATTTAATCTCGATTCCAGGGATTTAAATGAGGTGCGACTGGCACTTTTTAGGAACGGTGGAAAAATCTCTTTTCCGTACAATTTGTTCTATTGCCAAAAATAGACGATGAGTGCAAGCGTTTTTCGTAATAGACATATAACTTTGTTATAATCTACATACAGGTTATATAGATATAAGCAAATGATTGTTATACTTACTAATTTTTCTTTTTCTGCCTGTTGGCCATAGATACATCGAAACAAAACACATGCTTCCACTAGCATTGATTCTCAACGTTATAATGTAATACATGACAAGAGAAAAAATGATTTGTGATAAATTGTCGTATACACTTTACTAAGTTTATATGATTCATAGATTAGGGTGTGAATGTGGGTGGGGTGTGGGAGGTGGGTGTCGTTGGGAAGTAATACGCTATGGATATTAATCTTGTGTTCATTCGCGCTCAAATCCACACTTATACCCACCACCCACACCCACACCCTTATCAAGATCATTATTGTGTGCTAAAAAACAAAACAAAGAAATTTCTACTTACTTTAAATATTAATTAACTATTATTCTATTAAATTGAGTTCAATAGAAGAGAAAGATAAATATCTATCCTCATATAAGTGGTTCGGTCAAAATCTTCGCTTTCTCTTGTTACAAAAAAGAATCTATTACGAAATTGTATTAGTATATTCATAGTTGTTATCTCTTTACTCTATTATATAACAAAGAATCATCGAAATGACAAATTAGTTTACTTTCATATACATCGATATGAGAAGCATTAGGCGATAATTCTTTAAATTGTTCCAAAAATAAATACAGTGATGAATATGAACTAATGCATGTGTCATCAAAACTTCACAATTTGAAAATATATGAATAATTATTAAAAGAAAAAGAAATGTTATTTAACTAAGATGTTTTTAAACTTTTTTTAATAACTGATAACTGACATTCGATTATCAGAAGATTGAAATGCATTAGTAAAAGAAGAGAAAAGATGCTGACATGACATTATTGAATCATATAAACATTTAACATTTGTCCATTGATGTGAAATAAAAAAAGAATGAATTTTAAATGAATTATTTATTTTTTCTATATCATCATATGATAATTGACATTGTGAAGAGATATAAAAATTGAAATCAGTCAAATTAGGTAAGCAATATTGACGAATGAAATTTGCATCAATCAAACACGTCCATATATTTTGACATTTTCTATTGTCTAATTTACAACTTTTAATATGAACTTGAAGTTTTTTAACATAATTTAAATTATTAAGAAGCCATTTCAAATAAATAAATTCCAAATCATTATCAATAAAAGTTTTTAAACTAAAACATTGTAGTTTTGGTATCTAAAGCAATAGGGTTCGGTTTTTTTGTTCAACTGATAAATCTATAAAATGGAAAACTAACGATTAATTTCTTACTTTATTGAACCAATTTTCGTTTGATTGTTTCAATGCTTCTATGTTTGATTCCCATAATGTATCAGCTTGTAATGGACCATTGAATTCCACCGATATTTGTTCGAGATTGGGGATATATTCAATGAGACTTTCAAGAAAAAGTCCATGATTAACTCGAATATGTAAACGACGAAGAGTTATATTACACGATTGAATTAAATTAGAAGAGAGATCAGAATTTGATGATAGACATCGATGTACGGTTTTCAGAAAAATCTATTCTGTTCTAGGGTCTATTTTTACCAGAATATTCTGAGAAGGTGCCCATTTCGAGAATACTTTTGGACCATTTTCATATTGAATCTTAACCTAATTTTAACTTGAGAGCAAAATGAATATCATATTCGGAATCAGCGCAAAAAATTACGTTATATCATATGCATTTCAACGAAAATAATATTTTTCAGAAAACTTCGATGTGGTCCCCCTCAGCAATTTTTTTCTCAAGTTTCGCCTGTGGTCTGCTAGGGTGAATTTGTCGTAAAAACTTATTTTCGTTGA